TACTGAAACAGTAATCTGAATGGTAAATTTCACCTATGACACTTTTATCGGCATCGTTCCAGAATAAACGATCTAAGGCAATTCAGGCGAAATGTGAGAATCTAATTTGTTGGAGGAAATTGCAGAATTCTTACGTAAAACTCAACCGGAGTTCGCGATGATTGCATGTTCCCATCGATGAATTACGCAGATTTCGGTCAAGTTTATCACCAAAAATCGTCTACACCTATCCCGATGTCTTTGAATTTTAACGCCTGAAAATTCAAATCTATCAGACAATCCGCTATTCAAATCCGGATTTGAATACGATTATAAAATCAGTATTATCCATGCATCAACGACACACATTTATTTAAAGAGTTCAGTGATAAATTGATCGACTCAATGACCAAATCATTTTCGGGCTTGACCGAAAGCAAAGTAATTCATACAGCGTACTGATACTTATTATCCTCATGATGTATGCTGCAAATCCTACTTGGAAACTGGTTGCTATTTTTGTCGGATGTTTTTCCTTATAAAGCCTAACATTTGGACGGAGAATAAATAGCAGCAAATGTCCAACAGGAGCGTAATGATGAGTATCAATAAAATGAATAGAGTGAAGAACATGGCAAAAGGTAAAAAAGAGCGAATGGGGGGGCGTGAGTTTTTCATGAAAAACGAGAGCTTTGACAATAGTACTGAAAGTGAATACTATAAAAGGCGGCAATTGTGCTATTAGGGTAGAGGACATAAGTGAACGGTGAATAAGTAGGGATTGGTCACATTGTGAGCACGAAACTGTCCCACCTACGCGAACCGAGTGTGAGGCTGTGTAGTCAGTTTCGAAGCAGTGGTACTTACGATGCTTTCTCTAAATTGATCTTGGATGCATAAGTCAGGCGAAAACTGGCGAAAGTTCATCGCCTGTGCAGTCGCTATGATGTAAAGACGAAGCCCTTGGAAGGGTGTAGTGGCGCAGGTCAGACAATGTAAAAGGCCGATTCTGTTGATGTTCCTTGACAAGGGTCGGTCAAGTGACCATCATCAAGATTATAAGTACATTCCTAGAGTGTTGCAACCACCACCATGGGTGATGCACATTGTGACAACTACCTCGAAGTGCGAAAAATAGTTCGGAAACCCATTGCTGAGTAGAAGATTCAACAGTGGTTCATTTGCGATATTTTTGTGGCAAAACTGGATCAAATGCCAAAGCATGATCATCAGTCACGAACCCATTCGCCCCGCTCTCCTTCCGAAGTCGTCTATGTATGTGGCGAGGGACCGACAACTGCGTTGTTTTCAAAGTACCCTGGTCGTTGAAAAAAGGTATAACTTAGATTTAACAGACAGTGGTAAGGTGCACTTGAACGTATCAAGTCTACGTTTTCCGGAACCATGTGAAAAATTTTTTCGTCCTAATCCACTAAAGCGAAAACCGGTCAGTTCAACTGTGCAAAACTGCAACAAACGTTTTCTTTACATTGAAGTTGAGCAGTAATGAAAACGGGCTTGTGGCTACTGGTATAAAGTATCACAAACGCACCAGCGAATGCAGCCTAGCTTAATTTTATTTGTTATTTAGCGCTAAGCTTATGAACCTGCACACTGATTGTGCTGCAATAAACGTCACGTCCAAAAGACGGGCTTGCAATAAAGCTCTGAAAAGTCATCATCTGGACTGTCGATCCAATAGTACACAGTTCCAGTTATCTATAAGTTCATGCATTATTACCTAGGTCATATTTAACTTGTGTAGTCATGCGCATCGGGTGTTCGTTGTCGGTTTTGTAGCTCACGGATTAGGGATTAGACACAGCCTGAAGTTTGTTGTTTCGAGTTTGCCTGTCAAGACAAAAATAGTGTGCCAAGCTGATAAGTCTTAACAAGGACGACAAAAATGTCCAGTGCTCTTCGTCGTTTTTAACATAAATATCTGGCAAATGAAAGCATGCTTCTCCGGGGATTCGAGGGCTAGTTCTAATCTTGACGTTATTTTCGCAGTGTTACTGACAACTCGTTCAAGACACCCATTCTTCATGCGAATGTTTTCGACTCCTTCTAACCCTTCCGGGAAAGTCGATATTGATCATATTTGCATTGTGCCTCCCTCTTAATGTGCACGAAACTCTGGCAATGAGTATTTTGCCCAGAAAAAGTTTACTTTTTGTGAATTGTTATAGCACACAGTTTACCGCTGTGTTGTGAACAAGATAAATGTGGGAAGAAAGCAAATCCAATTTTACAATTATCAAGAAGAGATTTTGCGTAACCGGTACGTGCCCCTCATTTGAGAGAGCCCTAGTAAATCGACGGGAAACATCGACCGACGGCGATGAAGAATCTTATCTTAATCTCCCGTGATCACAAGTTGACAGAAATCTGACCACGTGACCCTCCGTCAGCTACTGAATTCATTCTGTGCCTCCGATTTTCTGACTTTTCTAGGACAGCAAGGATCAGATTATTTTCGGATATTATTGGTGATAATTAATCAGTGTTTAGATTTGTTTATTAAATTTGATCGTTTCTTCACAAGTCCAATGAGGAGTCAGCGGCGGGGAGGTTCTGAGAGAGAAATCGTTAGGATTTTTCAGGGGCATTCTATATCTGCCTGTGACAGTGTAACTAATACGATCTTGTAATAACTATTGTCTGAAAAATTGAACAGTTTCATTGAGAGCACACGACATCGCCAGACTAGTGTACTGGATAAAAGCATCTTTTGACCTGCGATAAACGTGTCGAATATGCGGAAGACAATCTCAATCATTCCTTTCTATACTACCTATTTAAATTGGATTTTGTACCATTGCTGATTCCTTCAATCGTAGACAAATGTTTCTTTTGAAAATACCGGATTATGCAATAAACATAATCTCCTAAACAAGTTAATCTTACAAAGCACCCATTGTTGTTTAGCAATGTTTTTTATCCAAGGCAGTTTTGAAAAATATTTATCAGCTTTTAGTATCACTGTTTGGTCTCCCATGAGCATGAAAGATATCACCATGCATGTAACAAACTGTTACCCCAGCTCTAAACGTGTAGTCAAACAGAGAAGTTGATAAATAATAATAATAATAATAATAATAATAATAATAATAAATAACTTCAGCGAAGGGTCAGCAGTTCGCTACTGGTCACATGCTGGTTTGGCGGTTAATTGTAAATCGATGAAGGCATGAGCACATAAATAGGGTTAGAATTACTTGACCGGGGTTAATCACGGTGTAATGAACTTGGTTACTTTGGTTGGGTTCACTTTTTTTCTTGCCCTCTGCTGTTGCTGCTTTGTGATACAGCACCAGACTGCGATCCGAGTGATGATTTACGATCAAAAGAGAGATAGAGAAGCAGAACCTGTTTGTGTGGGAGTGAGTATCAATTCAATTCTCTGGATCTGTCTGAAATCATCAAATGATTAATTTGCTGGTGTGCTATATGCATTGTCACATTCATCTTTCGGGCGACACTACCTCCCTACCCCTCAACCCCGATTGCTGAAGGGATTTTATCTGCCTTTGTATCTCGGCCAATTTTGAGCAATAGCATTAAATTCCACCGTACAACTATCCACAATAGACTAGACTTGATTCGATCACATACAGAAAAACAAATATTTCTACACCAGCATTTTCATTTCAGACTGAGGGTGGGGTACTGGTTCCAGTGAAGTGATTTTTTAGTGTTCGATTCGAATACCCATCACCAACCTACTGTATTGATAACGATCTATTTACAAATCGGCGTACCACCCACTGTCTACCTGTTCTTTAAACAAGTAAACGACTCACGAAGAAGGGACTTGAAGAGAATCAATTGGGGGTGGAATAAAATGAAAATTCCAGTTGGGGGAAACGAAATTTCCATCATCTCCATGTTTTTATTTGAAATGGCCTCCCACTCGAGTGTGTGTGTGTGTGTGTGTGTGTGTGTGTG